GAGATTTGCTGGTTAAGGTGATCCAGGGGTCTGACTGTGGAGCTGGGAAGAAGTCACTGCAAACAAGGAGCAGAGGAAGGGAGCCCAGAAAACACAGCCTAGCTCCACTGCTCACTAGCTATGTAACTAAAGTTCCTTAACCCCGAAAGCCTCAGTTTCCCCACATGTAAATGAGGGATTGCTGTGGAATTCAATGAGTGAGTGAGTGAAATCCTATCCCAGTGTCTGGCACATAAGCATGCAATAAGTGCTAGTGATTATTGGTAATGAGTATTATATTCAGCAATACAGGTCATGGTTTCACTCTTTTTTAAAGCAACAGAACTATTTTTTTAAATGGACATTTATACTAACGTCCAAATTACAAAACAAAATACCAGAACTGCTCTGGTTCAATGGGGAAGGTCCCAGAGTCCCATATTCCCAGCCTTCCCTCTACTCAACATAATCCCTAAAAGGGATCCCCACTGAGCTCTAGCTTTCCCTTCAGGACCCAGACTGACACTTTCATTATGGATGGCATGCAGGCCAACCAGTGGCCAGGAGTTCTGACTGCCCAGCCCAGCTGCTGGCCCGGGTCCTCCTGATCTGCCCTGGGTCACACATGACCAGACACGGACAAGGGAAAGAAGAGGCCTCTGAGACGGCAAGCAGTGAGAGTAAAGCTCAGGCCAACAGGCAGGACACACCTGCAAAAATGTTAAAGATAAAGCAGGAAGGACTGCAACCTGGAGTGTTACAAGAACTGTACTTTTCAGCCAAGAACTGACCCAAAGCAAACCACACCTGGCACATACATCTAACATCGGCAGACAGCTTGCTGGGAGCACCTCAGGCAGAAGAAGACACACTCTGCAACAGAGGAAGGACCCTGGGGGCTCCCGCCCCTCCAGAGCTGAGACCCAGTGGTACCAGGCACTGTGTCTCAATATCAGGTGAGAGAAAGAACACCAGGATCAACAGGACTCTGGGTCCAGCACATGCCACAGCAAGCATCGGGCTGGCAAATGGCAATCGCTCTGGATCCCCACACTCAAGAGGACTGACTCAAATGTTCCCTGAGGTTTTGAGACCTCCCAACACAAACACTTAGTAATTTTATAAATAATGCTGTACGCATTGGTTCCAAATACATTAAAGACAAAAGTTCCCTAGGTACACACCCCTCACACATAAAAGCCAGGGCTTGTACATGCCTAAAAGTGTGTGAGGCATGTGTACTGAGCCCAGAGAAGCAGCTTTGAAAGCACCAAAGGAGCAAGGAAGATAGAGAGCGTCAGCGTCAGAGGACCCGGTGCATTCCCAGCTCCCACGGTGACTATGTGACAAGGGCACAGTATTTAGCCCCTTAAACCTCTATCTTTCATGTGTGAAACAGAGACACTGACCACTGCTCAGCGGCCCTGTGCAATGACATATTTAAAAGACCCCACCACAGAAAAAGCTTTCAAGTGGCAGGTATAGTCATTATTGGGACTGGGAGGTTAAGCTGAAAACTCAGTGCCCCCACACCAACCCTCCCAGCTCTCTCCACGCAGAGGCTCCCAGCAGGCGGTCTCAGCGATGCCCTCAGAAGGGACGTACCTCTAGCACGCTGGCTGCAACTGCATCCAAGGACTTGAGAACAGGCTCCTCAACGATCTTCTTCACCTACCAGTAAAACAAGACCTCATGAGGCACCTGACGAACACAGTGATAGACAGGAATGCCAGCTCATTCCACTAAAGAACAAATGCTGACGGATAAAAACACCTAACAGGCCCATGTGGTGAAGAATGTGCTAGAAAAGTAGGCCACAATATATGAAAAATATCGAACTACATACACAAAATGCCCTTAATTCTCCCTTCACTTGGAACTTTTCTCACCTAGATTGGAATGACATAAAAACAGAAAAGGTACCAACTCTCTTAAATTTGCTGACATTAGACTTCCACTTCCAGGATGCGAAAGTGTTCAGACTCCAGGCATCACTGACATTTCGTCCACATCCCCTCCCAGGTGTCAAGAGCACCTTCACAGTCAATCCTCTGGTGCTGACGGCTCCTCCCTCTTCGCCTGGGCTCTTCGAAGCTGCCCAAACTGCAGCACACATTTTAAATTTCTAATAGAAGTCATTATTTCTACCCATCCTCTATACCAGCATTTAGTACAGGAACGGACGATCCTGTCAACGTGGGATCATCTGATGGAACTGCAGTTCCCCCCCACCCGGCCCCCAACTGTAGTACTTTAAGAAAGCCTTTTCAAAATGTATAGATAATGATACACAATATGACAGGAGACTAAATAAAAAAATTTCCTAGAAGAAAGCCTAACCTTGAAAAGTTAAAATATAGTAGAAAAAATAATTCCCCTTTGTTAAAAAAGGATCTGAAACATTCAGCCTTCAAATGGGATTTCTGAGATTAACTGAGAAAGCCATGGGCCACCCAGGCCACTGTTTTGTCTGAGACACTGACAATGAGGCGTTTAGGGGGAGTATTTCCTCCTCCGGACAGTAACTTCGAAAATATCCTAGGCCAGCGATCACCAACCGGTGGTCCGTGGACCACTGGTGGTCTGTGAGGTCCGAAAGGTTGGCGACCGCTGTCCTAGGCTATTAGTAATTGGTTATGACTCTATCCTCACTAATTATCGCCTATGCTTTGATGTCTTCTTATACCTTCTGCCGAAATAAAGCCTTTCTCTGAGGGATTTCTTTCTATTTATCCTCACACAGGAGGAGATGGCTGCTCTCTCCAGTGCATGCTTCAAGCTTTCGGAGGTGTCATTCTCATTCTCATCGTTAGAGTTTGTCCCTGATGATGTTTTCTCCACTATCCCCTAGAACAGCCGTGGGCAAACTACGGCCCACGGGCCAGATCCGGCCCGTTTGAAATGAATAAAACTAAAAAAAAAAAAAAAAAAAGACCGTACCCTTTTATGTAATGATGTTTACTTTGAATTTATATTAGTTCACACAAACACTCCATCCATGCTTTTGTTCCGGCCCTCCGGTCCAGTTTAAGAACCCATTGTGGCTCTCGAGTCAAAAAGTTTGCCCACCCCTGCCCTAGAATGTCTTGAAGAATCCCAGCTCAATCGTAACAACCTCAGAGTCCCTGGATCAAGGTCCATTTCAGGACTCAAGACAATGGCACCAATGCCTTCTCTAATATCACCTCAAAGGCTATCCAAAGGGATCCAAATTGGAAAATTAGGTTTTGTATTGATCTGAATAGAGCAGCCCTGGGATAGACAGGTACCCTGAGCTGAGCTTTGACCCTGCCCTTGGTCTACAGATCCTTGATTTATTTGACACTGATTTCCTTACCTCTAAAATGGGGAGCATGGTGCCTCCCCAAAATGGTTATTAAATGAGAACAGACTGCACAATTGTGCCATGAATGTTACTTTCCTTCCTTCTTTCATCTGAAAATTATGACTACCAAGGTGTTCATTTGAAATACTGAAAAACTCCCAGTCTTACACCACTGGCAATTTTACTGACCGATAGAGCCATGGCCTGTTTATCCACACTGTTCTGCTTACCAAGTTTAAGAGTTCCCGAAGCATTTCTAGTGGAACACTGAACTCCTTATATGTGACGCCATTGAAAAGAGGAGAAACTGAGAAGCTGGAACTGATGGTGGAGAAGTAGTAATCGGGATCCAGGGCACTCCCATCGGGTAAGTAAGAAACTGATGGAAAAGAAAACCAGTCAGTCAGTCACAGTAACATGTGACCGGGATACTTCCTTAAGCTGATTCCCTCAATAACCAACTAAGACATAGACTCTGCTTTTGTTTTTACTCCCATTCCTTGTTTTTTAATTAAGTAGTAAAGGCTGGCCCTAGCCGGTTTGGCTCAGTGGATGGAGCGTCGGCCTGCGCACTGAGGGGTCCCAGGTTTGATTTCAGCCAAGGGCACACGCCTGGGTTGTGGGCATAATCCCTAATAGGGGGTGTGCAGGAGGCAGCCGACCAATGAGTCTCATCATTGATGTTTCTATCTCTCTCTCCCTCTCTGAAATCGATAAAAATATATTAAAAATAAATAAATAAAATGAAAAATGTTTTTAAAAAGAAAGAGGCTCTTTTAGAAAAAGAAAAAAAGAAGAAAAAGAAGTAAAGGCTAGATTACAAATCCTTGGGGAGTGATGTCTCTCACTGGGATGTTTCATGTCAAAGGCTCAGATATAATTATGGCCTAATATTTTCAACATAGACAATATAACTTAACATATGGGAAGAAAAAAAAGAATTACACCTTTTTAAAGGTTGAGAGATGTGGAGGACCATAGGGCTCCAAAGATTTTACCACCAAAATTAGAACTAAAATTAGAACTAAATTACTAGAAATTTCAAAATCAGAACAAAAACAGTCAATTGTCCAAAACATACTAATAATAAGCCCAAAAGCATATAATCATTTGAAAATCCATTATTTAAAAACAATGATAGAAGACTATGACTGGAAAATAAATAAGCTTGTGATATTTTCATATTAAATAGTGACAGATGATATCAATCTATAAAGAACCAAAGAATAATAAATTTTATGACTTTTTTTGAGCACTAGAGCATAGAAAAAGCAAGGAATTGAGTTTACTCCCTTTGTGTAAAAGCTGGAGTATAGTTCTATGATGCTGGTGACACACTGCTGACCTGATTAAAGGTGGATGGATCCCAAGAAAGCAAACCAGCAACTTACAACAAAGGGGATGTGGTGGGCAATAATACTGAAAGGAGTTGAGATGCTGGAGGCCAACATAATAAACGATCAGTAAAACAGGGAATGGCACCCTAGCTGGTTTGGCTCAGTGGATAGAGCGTCAGCCTGCGGACTGAAGGGTCCCAGGTTCTATTCCGGTGAAGGGCACATGCCCAGGTTGCAGGCTCGATCCCCAGGAGGGGTGTGCAGGAGGCAGCCGATCAATGATTCTCTCTCATCATTGATGTTTCTATCCCTCTCTCTGAAATCAATAAAAAACATTAAAATAAATAAATAAGTAAATGTGTGACACTCTTGAATAGGCCCATGGGCTGTATAAGGCCTGTGAATCATTCGATCTGGCCCTGCCAATGCATTATGTGTTGAGTTAATTAAATGTTTGATCAAATATAGCAGGTTAATTTTTAAGTTGATAATTTTTTATGCCCCGCAAATGATATTATAAATATCCAAATGGCCTTGGCAGAAAAAAGGTTCCCCACCCCTGTTCTAGATGCATGACAGCAGAGCATTAGTGTTACCATCCCTGGCATCACCAGTAGTCACTATGAACCTGTTATCCAAGTGCTAGGTCAATATGATGTTGTGAAGCCCACCTTCAAAGTAGTGAAAGGCGGATCCTCCAGGGGAGCTGGGAGGGGGCATCCCCCGTTCAGGGCTGACCTGAAACACACAACCATATTTACAGATCAGAAAAGGCCAGTCAAACCTCAGATTTGTCTTAGACAAGGTTCTCTCTGCCAGCTCAACAGTAGTTGTACTTCAAGTTGTGGTTCAGGCATCACCTCCTCCATGATACCTGCCCTACCTACAGTGTTCTCTACTATATACCAAATCATTAAATTCTTCCTGTCTAGACAAACATTTTATATCTGATGACTAAGCTGAATTAGTCTTGAATTTCGTGTCTATCTTTTCTCCGTGAGTCAATTAGATACTTCTTAAGGGCACCAACTGTCTCCCACCAGGAATAGATTTTGGCACCCACTTGCTAAGAAGCAAATACTTCATGACGAGGAGATGAAATCACTTATAAATTGTAAAGAGGACAAGGAAACCTTTTATATTAAAGAGAATTCTAGTGAGAACATTTTGTTTTCTAAGTTTTCTCAAGCTACACACAAGTGGGCCTTTCCCCCATGTGAGCAATTCACAAGCCCTCTCTCCTCTGCTCTCTTCCGGGAGGGCAGCCGCACCTGAGAGATGCTGGACACGCTGCTGGTCTTCCTCTTCAGGGTGCCCTCCTGACACACGGTCAGCAAATTGCTGGGGAGGATGGAGCGGAAGTCATTGAAGGAACGCCTCCGAACGCCTTCCAGCTCCTCCGGGACTCGGAGGGAATGAGGAGGGATTTTGGGAAAGAGTTTTGAGAGGAGCGACTCTTCTGTGTTGCTGTAACGCCCAAATGCTCGTGAGATTCCAATCAGGCACGGGATTGCATATTTGCAGAGGTATTCTAGAAGACAAAGTAAGAATGTTCTGATACCAACTTGTAACACTGACTCACATCTCACAACCCACCCACTAACGACTCACAAGAGTCAGGATAAGCCACAGCAACAGGGTCAACCCCAAAGGCTGACTCATGAAATTTTAATCTGGCATGAACAGTAACTTCAGACTATGTCTGGGTCACATACAACTGGCTTCTTTGGGAGGTCTTGGTCTATTCATGGCACATCCAAATCATTTGTAAAGGTAAGTCATGTTATCAGGCAGCTTTACTGTACTTAAACAATGTATTTATCGTTCCCAGGATCATACTGTTAGCCTTACTCTAGAGGAAAAATGACCTTTGGAAGTCAGACGTGTTATAGATAAGAAACATAGGCCCAGAAGGATGAGGTGACTTGTCCAAGGTCACTCAAAAATTTTCAGGTGACATAGTTGTGCGCGTGACTGACATGTGACCTCTTAGCTAACACACAACAAAAACAATATAGGAAGGTTTTCATCCATGACGTATATAGGGTAGTAAAGAACAGAAAAAAAGACTTGAGGAAAAAAATAACCACAAAACCATTTTTAAAAAGCCTTGGATATATAATTATACCTTTTTCTTGAATCTCCAAAGCCTGGCACATTCCCAAAAGGACATGCAAAACCTGCAAAAGTGCCTCTAGGATCTGTAATAGCCAAGAAAACAGAGAAAACTTATAAGCCAAATCAGAAACATGTTACATTAGTTCAGAATTAGAAGGAGCTTCAGACATTATCTTGTTCAACCTCATATCTGATACATAACTCCACACACGAAAGCTCTATTGAGGGGCCAATCAGCTGACCTTCCAGGAACAGAAACCCTCCCTCCCTGGGCTGGTCCAGAGTTCTTCCTGACAATGGGCCAATGTTGTCCTCCTGGGGCTGGCTTGCACCCACCAGCTATTGGGGCCGCTCCTTCCTCCATATTCTGCAAGCAGATGATAGACCCCCGAATCCCTTCTCATGGCTAAATACCTCTAATTCTTTCCATCCATTCCTTATGATTACAAATACTTTCCAATGCTAATTATAAACTTCTGATTTTACTGTAGTCCACTGTTTCAGAAACTGTCTCCAATTGTAGTGCTCAGTATAAAATTCATTAATATTCCAGGGATGCTGGGACTCACTGAGTAATCACCAAACTCAACACAGATTCTAGACTTTCATGTATGTGTCATTAGCTTTCTGGCAGCTGCTTTACACTGCTGGCTCCATGAGCTCACAGATACATAAAATAATTAAATCTTTTCCACACATGCTGCTCCCAAGCTATGCCACCTCTATTTGCATAGCTGGTATTTTTTGCCTGTCACTGATCCCTATAAACCTCATGGTATAAACCTGAGATCATCATGCTAGTTGTTTGTTAATGCCTCAAATTATGTTTTCTACAAATGAGGCCAACTTGCTTCCCGATCTTCATTCATGGACCCGGCTCATTTTACTTCAACAGTAGGGGGCAGGCTACCGGAGGCTCCTACTGAGCTGGCACCTCACCAGTCACCATTTGGGATGGTCCTTTGGACAGTTCCTTATTAATTGTTTTGGTGCTCAACCCATTTTCCAGGATATCAGGAGAGGACTTTTCCATTGCCTTGATAAAGACCAACTAGACTATATCCACTTCATTTCCTTCTACTAGTACCAGTCTTAGAAAACCAGGAAAAGAAAAGAATGAAGTGGGTCTGATATGACTTGTTCATAATCAAGTCAAATTTCTTATATTTTGCTAATATTAAATGATGCTACCTATGAAGACTTGAAAGTAAATATTTTATCCATTTCATATATTAAAATGTTGCCCTTATCTTCAGTGTTAACCTCCCTATTTTGAAGTTATTTATAAAAAAGCCCTTACTTACAGCCTGTTAACTTTTTAATAATATGTAATTCTCACATATATAGTTATCTCCTTAACCAACCTACAAATAAAGAACTTAAACTGAGAAAGAAAGAGGTAGAAATACTAACAATAAAATCTATAACTGAATATAAGGAAAGAGATATTAAAAATTAAAAAGCAGATACAAAAACTCAAAAAGCTTAGCTAGCTAAGAACATTTAGCATAGAGGCAAGCAACCAGGCACTCCTGGGCAGGACCTGAGGATGGATAGCAACATATAAAAATTGATTTTCAAAAAAAATAATTCTGATTAAAAAAAAGTCTAGAGCCCTAGCTGGTTTGGCAAAGTGGAGAGAGTGCCCGGCCTGCAGACTGAAGGGTCCCAGGTTCGATTCCGGTCAAGGGCACATGCTTGGGTTTTGGGCTCGATCCCCAGTGGGGGGCGTGCAGGAGGCAGCTGATCAATGATTCTCTCTCATCATTGATGTTTCTCTTTCTCCCTCTTCCTTCCTCTCTGAAATCAATAAAAAACATTTTAAAAAAAGAAAAAGTCTAGAGATTATAATCATATTCTTTGTTTAAAAAAGAAACAGCTCCAGTTGGTGTTGCTCAGTGGTTAGAGCGTCAGCCTGTGCACTAGAAGGTCGAGGGTTCAATTACAAGTCAAGGGCACATGCCTGGGTTGCAGGTCTGATCCCCTCCACCTGGGGCGGGGGGCAGCAATCAATAGGTGTGTCTCTGTTACATCTATGTTTTTCTCTCTTTCTCTCTCCCCCAACCCCCTCCCTTCCATTCTCTCTAAAAATCAATGGAAAAAGTATCCTCACTTCTTGGGTGAGGATTTTTTAAAAAAAAAGTATGAAACATTTAAGTAATATTTCCAATAAAATAAACTAAGACCGAATATATCTGAGCACTTAAAGGATTAGCTTCAACTATCTAGAAAAGTCTTTCTATGAAAGACTTTAATACCCATCGTAGTCAGGAAAATGAGCTGCCTCTGCCTTTTGCTGCCTACCTCACAGGACTATTTGGAAAGCTGAATGAGATCAGACTCAAGAGATCAGTGGGTAACCGGGAAAATACTATAAGCAAAGTATTAAATATTTCTTAGGTCTACTATTAATAATGTGGAATTGCCGAAACCGGTTTGGCTCAGTGGATAGAGCGTCGGCTTGCGGACTGAGGGGTCCCAGGTTCGATTCCAGTCAAGGGCATGTACCTGGTTTGCGGGCACATCCCCAGTAGGAGATGTGCAGGAGGCAGCTGATCGATGTTTCTAGCTCTCTATCTCTCTCCCTTCCTCTCTGTAAAAAATCAATAAAATATATTTTTTAAAAAAAATAATAATGTGGAATAAGTCAACATAAATAATCCAATCACTTCAGATTTGTTTTTTACTCTTGTCATCACTTTGGGACTCTTTCTGATCTTACAGAAATGCAAAACAATTAGCCATACATTTACCTCATCCCTAAGTGAAGGGTCCCTGTAAGCCACATCAGACAGCAAGGTTACCAAACAGAAGCTGAAGCTCTCTGCAACTGGGAGGACACCTGGAATCCATAAAGACACAAATCAGATTGTCACAAATGAGAGACACTGAGCCACACCTACGGGCCCCCCAGTTCAGTAGTTGCTTCTCTCATATGGCCTGCAAGCGACCCGTTTACTGTGGTGAATGCCCTCGCTGAGATGAATCTCAGAATAGATATGGGCCCAACATGTTTGCTGAGAATACTCCTTCCTTTTTTTTTAATATAATGTTTGGGTTCAATAAACGTAAATGGCCCTAACTGGTTTGGCTCAATGGATAGAGCGTCGGCCTGCGGACTGAAAGGTCCCAGGTTCGATTCCAGTCAAGGGCATGTACCTTGTTGTGGGCACATCCCCAGTAGGAAGTGTGCAGGAGGCAGCTGGTCGATGTTTCTCTCTCATTGATGTTTCTAACTCTCTCTCCCTCTCTCCCTTCCTCTCTGTAAAAAATCAATAAAATATATTTAAATAAAAATAAAAAATAAACGTAAATGTTTCCTGAATCAGTTTGAGATTACATAACCTCTCAACATGACAGATTCCATTTTTATCCCTGACCTAAATAAGAGTAAGAAATCAGTCTTGATAGTGTATGAGAGACAGAATATGGAAGCTAATTGTCAAATACCTATTACTGCTACTTTAAACGGAATTAAATGCTTGTATTTTCTTTTCTGCTTTATTTTGACAAATGGAGAAAATCCTAATAAGAACTTCCAAAGAATTGTTCTATTCCTCCTAGGATGTTAAGCCCTTCCACTACTGAGCTCCTAGCAGGGAGGATCCTGGGACCACAGCCTCAAGGTCAAAAAGGGAGCATTATACCCAAAAGACCAAAAGCTAAGCAGCACTTCTATCAAGTGTACCTTCAAAATGTTAGTTCAGCTACTGTGAAGATCCAATCACTATTAAATATTTAATCAATTTTGAATACTAAGCATTTAATCCAGGACAAAGAGCTATCCAGTTTTATGGCCATATGCATAGTACATCACAGGAGACTGTTACATTTCCACTTTTGCACTTATTTTAACATGCATCTCTAGGTAATTCTCAGACTTGATTGTGCATCAGAATCACCGGAAGGGCTTGTTAAACTGCAGACTGACTGCTTCCCAGACCTAGTTCCTTTCTTTCTTTTTTGGGGGGGAATTTTTATTAAGTTTACCCAAGCCAAACTGACAAACATGCCAGGGAAAAGATTTCAAATGCTCCCTGACCCTAGTTTATATCAGTAGCTCTGATGTGGCACTGAGAATCTGCATTTCTGACAAGTTCCCAGGTGCTGCTGGTGCTGCTAATACAAAGATGGCACTTTAAGAACTACTGCTCTATAGTTTAAAAGCATAAATAATACTGCCTTAATACAAGAGAGAAATGTTACCCAACAATTGGAAATATCTCCAACAACATTCCCAACAATCTATAATAATAAATGTGTAATATGCTAATTAGACCAGACGTCCTTCCAGATGACCTGGACGAAGCTGGGCTGCGAGGGAAGCCCGGGTCCCGGTTGCCAGTGGGAAGCCAGTGCAGGCAGCTGGGGGAAGGAAGGCCTACACTTGCACGAATTTCATGCATCAGGCCCCTAGTGTTTCAAATAATGCTAAAACTTCCATTCTAATACCAGTCCATGTATATAGAAGTATATATGTTTTTAAATAAAATAACAGAAAAATAGAATCAATATCTATTGGTATTCTATTTCTTCCCAAATTAGATAACAAAGGTGGAACAGATGTTTGACTTTTTAGCAATGCTCTCTCTATTTAATTTATAGGCCTTTAAATTCCAGGACACATACATAATTTGGGGTCTGTCAGTTTTAGGCATAGGGGGTCACCAGAAATGATGAAAACCCAAAGGTAAAGAGGAATACAGGAATCCCTCCAACAAAAGGACAGGGGCCTTCTTTACAGCCACCAACCCCCGCTGTATCTGAAGGTGGGCCTCAGGCATGCCTCAGAGAGAGACATTACAAGGAAACTTCAGTCTCGTGGATCATGAACTCTAAAATGTGGGAGGTCTTCAAGCTGATTTTGGAGT